TCCCCGCCTTGACGCAATGATTGCCGTAGGGTGGGCGTGGTCAGCTCGGAATGCATTTTCAAAGCAGCACTGAGTGCGTGATTCTACTTGACTACGTTCGTTTTAATTAAATATTTTTTTAAGCAAATTAATTAAAATAGAAAAGTAACTCGCGCTACTTTTTTAAAAAAGTAACTCAAATATTGATGTGTAAATTTATAAAGTAATGCGTTATATTACTCGTTACTTAAGAAAAGTAATATTATTACGTAACGCACGTTACTTGTAACGCGTTACCCCCAACACTGGCTACCACTTCTCTTGGTGAGGGTGGGGTTGGTAACAACCAGTCTTCACCTTTCAAGGCCACAGGCTCTTTCTAGAGGATCCCTAGATGTCCCCTAAGCCAGCTGTAACATATAATCCATCCAGCAGGTCCTGAGTCTGCCCTGGGGCCTTCGCTCAGTGGGACTTGCCTGGAATAAGGTCCTTAGGAGCATCTGGACGGCATAAATGAACCACCTTCACTGACCGACAGTGAGTCCAGCAACTTTGCAAAGAAACCTAATTTCAGGTGCTTGAACTAATGGCCTGGTTCTTTCTACAATTTTCCACAGCTTATGACCATAGGCGAGGGCTGGGATGCAGACTGACCCGTAAACCATAAGGGTAATCTCATTAAACAATTCCTGTTTCACCACCACGAGTCACCTGAGTTCCCGCAAAACTGCAGTCACCAAGGGGATGCGCTAGTCATGCTCCCTCCTACCATCACTCATGAACAACATCCTAAGATATTTAAACTCCTTCATTAAGGACAGACTCTCTCCTCTTGTCTCAAAAGAGCAATTCACTTTCATCAAAAGCGTACCACAGCCTCAGGATTCAGGTTATGATTCTCATTCTTGCCATTTCAGACTTGGCATCGAATCTGTCACATGTGTGCGCTAATCCCTGGTTATATATAGTCAAAAGCATGACAACATCTGCAAATAGCAGTGTTGTTACTTCTAATACACTTAATACACTTCTAGCGATGGATGCACCTTGATATCCTGTCTGTGAAAATGACAACCAGCAGGGGAAACAGGGGAACAGAGGGGAACACCCACTCTGAACGACATTGATTTTGTGTTGGCAATGTGATCCCAACTCTTAATGAAAACCTAGACGGAAAGGACACTGCACAGAACAGTGGCATTGGTACCCTATATCTCTGTAGCACGTTGTACCACACGTGGTGGAACTTTGTGTTCCGAGGTCACGAAGCACATATTGACTGTGTGCATTTTCCCACAAACCCTTAAACAGCTGTACAAAGGACAACCATTGACCCCCTGCTCTATGACCAGGCCAGAATCTGTACTGTCCCCCTGAATCCTATGTTTGACCATTGGGAGGAGTTTCATTTCCAATACCCTGATGTAGTTTACCCAAGGAAGGGCTGAATAGTGTGATATCCCTGTAGCTGGAGCACCACCTTTTCCCGGTCCAACTACTTCTTCTTGCTTTCCACTTGCTCTACATGCAACACTGAAGGGGTGTGTCAACGACATCACCCCAACGACATCACCCCAACGACATCTCTGGACAGATTTCACACACCTTTGCAGCCTTTCCACTAAGAAGACTTCTGACCACCATGGTGACTTCAGCTGCAGTGATACATTCTAATCCATTTGAAGTTTCCAGCACTGACTCTCAGGCAGTTGAGAAAGTTGAGCAGTTTCTTAACGTATTCTTTCCACCTCTGGACAATATTCCTAGAGCTGGTTAACAATCTGCCACCCCAGTCTGCCCAGTCTCCCCCTCTTGAGGCATCTTTGAGTCTCCCTCCATGGCCTCTTCAAACTCCAACGCACATACCCTTGCCTCTATGACTGCCTTTGCTGCAGCCTTTCTGGCCAATCAGCTGCCTTTGCTGCAGCCTTTCTGGCCAATCAGCACTTTTCCGTGCTCTCAGGAGACCATCATGCAAGCACTGACCTTAAGGCTTCCATCTTCAGCTTGGCCCCTTCCTCACTATTGGTGTCCACCAACCGGTTCTAGGGTTACTGTCATAACAGGCACCAATGATCTTATTGTTACAACTCTTTGTAGTTTGTAGTCTGTAGCAAATGGAGGCAACCTTCTTTCCTACTAGAAAGAACTGCAGTTGTACAGCCTGGGATTAGTGAGCATCCCCATACCTGCCTGAGGTCTTTCACTACCGGGAACTACAGAATAGGGGAGGTTCTACTCCTGGTTCCGAAGGCCATGCTCTACATGGAAAGGCTGCAATACATCTAGCCAATACCAGTCTATCTCCTGCACTTGCTGTGGCATTTTTCCCACCAGAAAAGTAATTGTTCCCAAATTTTAATTGTAGCCATTGTCCATGGCTAAGGTCTAATCCAGGGCTGTTCATTCCAGCTCCTGGAGATCCAGCAGAGCTAAGAAGATCATATATAAAATTTGGAATATACTATTTTAATGTCTGATTCTGTTTCCAAAGGAAGTACTTCACGCAAGAAATTCTTCGCATAATTTTAAAACAAACACCCTCACTCCATAAACATAACCTCATTACACATAAATAACCTCACCTCACACAAACGGCCTTGCTTCATACACAGTCACGTTCCACACAAACTATGACAAATCATTATGCTCCATGCAACCATTTAGTTTCCGTCACTCTGCCACCCCAGAGCATGCTGGGAACAGCACAAACCGTTTGAGACTTCTTCTTTTTCTTCTTTATTGCTCTGAAGAAGCCCTGTTTCTCCTTTTCTTTGGACGGTTCAGGAGGGTTCATGGTCTCTGAGTTATTCCTGTGAAAATGGATTAAAAATACCCCGTCAAATACGTCATTGCTTCTATAATTCAGTACAAGAACATTATGCGGGGACAGTTTATGATACTACATTGATTGATTACAAATTTTGTTGACTTAAACTTTAATAAATTTATGCTGTTACAAGACAAATACTTTTTCAAAGCCATTCTCAATTTTATTATACATTTTCTCAAGGGTGGAACACATAATTGATGAAAATTTAGCTGTGAAATACTGAAGGGCTCTTTTCTGTGAACCCATAATGACTCATCAACTAGACAAATGATGCATGATGACAGTGTAAATTTTGATCCAATTACCGCTGCCCACCCTCATTCGGGTGGGCTGTGGGGCCGCAGCCCACCAATGATTAAGATTTATCCATCTGGCCGAGCTGGTCGGACGGAAATCAGACACATCCACAGCCGTGGTTTCCGTATTCACGCTGGGTCCTTTTGTTCGGTCTCAGTCACCGACTGTAATATTACCACGTATGTCTACACTTTCAACAGGCACTAAGAACCATTTCATGACATCACTGGCAGTTCTCCATTGTGTGAGACACCTACGGAAGCCAGATGAACACATTATACATAAATAGGCACTCAGCCCCTCAATAATTACTTTTACAAATACTGCTTTCTATGCTTTTACCATCAGAACTGCTTGGTAAAATTTAAATTAGTTCTTTCCTCTATGCACTAAGGACTAGGGTTACCATATTTGCTGAGATGAAAATGAGGATGTGTCCGGGGATCAAAATATTAATGAGTTTTCATGTCTACCGGCCAATCAGGTAGCACTTCCCTTATGAATATTAATGAGTTTCCCATAACCACCCTGCAAAGCAAAAATTTTGTCTGGGTACTTGATAGTGATTTGACAACGAATCCCATGAGTCTGTCCGAAATTCAAAAACAGAAGCAGTATATCTGGGCCCTCCTTCAGCTGGGTGACGGCTCAGGATGAACAATGGCTGACCCATGGCTTTTTAAGAACACAGCTTTGTCCTCCCCTCCGGCCAATGGGGACACTTGTGTCGGCTCACCATGGGTCGAATGTGGTCTGCCGCTTGGAGCTGTTGATCATGGTGCCGCTGTCCCCGGCCACCGTGGATCCGCGGCTCTGGACGTTGCTCTCGTGGAAGGTGTTGTCTGGTCGGGGAGACGGCACTGCGGCACACAGCGCGAGGCTTGGTCACACAGCTGTCACGCAGAGGCATGCCCATAACAGCGGTAAGTGGAAGGACCTCTCCATCACCACCATACGCACCCCTGTAGAAGCTGCCTATCCGTCTGGGCATGGAGTTGCTAAAGATGGTGCGGCTCTCCTGGGAAGAAACTCCATCTTCGGTCTGCGGTTCTGGGTACATACCCACCTAGACCACCAGAAGCGTGTCATTAAGACAACACTGGCACATCTGCAGGCTGCTAGTTGCATTACCAGCCCCAAAACTGGTCAATCTGCTCGATAAACTGGGCAAAGATTAACCCCTTACATGACAGGACAGCTGAAGGGAGGGTCTAAGGAGAAAAAGGAAATAAGTTTACCAGGGAAACTAACGTTATATCGATAACTAAAGACAAGCAGATGCATATCCTGTCTATCCCAGATAAATATAAAGACAAACGTTTTACAAATGAATGTTCACCATAATGTGTATCTTCTTTGGAAAAACACAAAGGCAAGAGGTATAATCATATAAGGCAAAACTATGAACTAAAAATATGACGAGGCGAAAATGAAGTGAAATATCTGATGTCCGTGTCGGGACAGAGTGGTGACGTCTTCAGATAGGGCGATCGTCATTGTGGCCCGAGTGTCAAGAGGTGACAGTAGTGCGGACCTCGTTTGTTTGGCGCTGTGTGTGAAATGGTGCTGAAGTGTCCCGCGTGGACTCTTTAATCGGGGGTCTGGTGTGCGTCACATCTGTGGGAGACGGGTCACTCTGTTGACAAAATTAACAGCACATGACACGCATAGCCAGCGAAAGGCTGTGATAAGCAAAGATGAGAACGCAGGAGAGCACTTGTACTGGAGAACCACACGCTTAATGAGTGCTGTGACTACAGAGCCCTGAGATGTATAATGTCCAACAGCTCCAAAAACATGTCAGTGACATGCTGTTGTAATTGGACATGACTGCATAAGACAGGGTAACAAACAGCCCAATGTACTGGACTTTGCCTATAAATATGGACCAATCAAGCCCTTCCTGCTAATAACAGCTAAATCACACTCATTTGGCTAAATGATTTAAGTATGTAAATATGCATCAGGGCTCTGTAATCTGCAATAAGTCTCAGCAAAAGCTATGAAATATCAAGCTTCTTATCTCTCAAAATAAGAAAAGGACAGACAAAAGCAGTGTATTAGCGATCTTAGCCACGGTGACACAAAACAAGCTGTGTTAGCTTAAGCTTGGCCTGTCCATGGATCTGCTGGGAGACTGTGTTCCTCAAAGCGTCCAGGGGAGCTGGAAGCCAGAACCTTAGAGATAGCAGTAACAGTTCTGTGAATGACAGCTACACAGTGTAGACCTTGTGTCGCGGAGATACTGGATGCGGGGAAATCTAAGATGGGCATCTGTGCCCCTTCCGGCCGAGTGTGTGTGTCTGAGAGGTCAAGGGGGCACGAGAAGTCATCGGAAACTGACCCTGTCGTCCGTGCAGTCCTCTCTAGATGAGCCTAGTGAGTGGTGGGTCAAGTTTCGGTGCTGCAGCTGAGGAGAGAGGAGCTGCAGGCTGCTGGCACGTGTAGATAACCCCTGGCCCACCGTCAGACTCGTCACGTCTGGCCTGTGCACCCTCTGTCTCTCACGTCGCACATACATGGAGTGACGGTGGGGACGCTGCTGCGAGGAGAAGGGGCTGGTGTAGCCCAGGCCGTAGGGGTACGATTCGTGGGGGGCAGAGAGGGAGTGTCCGTGCCCCCCTCCCCCACCAGTGTCCAGGAGCTCAGGTGATTTGCCATCCTCCAGGTTTTTGTGGCGGGTGGAAGAGCGCCGAGAGTCCAGGGTGCTGCGGCCAGATGGGCTTGGGGCTGGCCAGTCCCGGTGCCGGACCGACGGGCTGGACTGAGCATTCAGGTCCAGGCAGCTGGAAGGAAAGTAGCAGGAGCTCTGTGCATCGCTCAGGTTGCCCACTGACTTGGCGTCGGAAAGCGTCCCGTGGCTCTTGGACAGGTTCATGTAGGACGAAGAACTTTTAGTGGAGGAAGGCATGGAGCCGTGGGAGGACTCCACGTAGCCGTGCCGGCTGTGCTTCTCGCCGGACTGAAGCGTGCTCGTCTTGCCCTCGGTGAAGGAGTGCTGGCCCTTCTGGGAGCGAGAAGAGCCCTTCAGGTATTTGGAACCTGTGCCGTCAGCAGCCTTTTGCCCCGTGTTGAAATCAAACTCTGCTTTGCCCTTGGTGTCCTTGGGGCTGAGAAGGTGAGGCTGATTGTTGTTGGCCAAGTCCTTGCTGCAGGAGGCCGAGCGGTTCAGGGACTGATAGGATTTGGGGTGCAGCGTAGGGCTGAGACTGGAGGAGGCAGGCATGTTCCCATTGAGGAAGTTGTCATTGCTGGGGTGCAGATCGTCATGGCGGTGCAGGCTGGAGCAATCCTTGCTGCTGGAGCGATGATGCCCTGAGCTTTTGCTTCCATGGGTCCTATGGAAAACCGACAGGTTATGAGAATAGCTGTTGCATTGAGAGAAGACAATAGCTGTTGCATTGAGAGAAGACAGGAAGGACAGGACGGGACAGGACGGGACGGGACCGGATACAACTGGACACTACAAGACAAGACAAAACATTATTTATCCATGTAGAGGAAATATCTTTGTCTAGTAGCATAGAAATACAACAAATGATCATGTAAGCAGAAATTAACACAACAAAGGATAACATAAAAATGTAGACAATAAATACTTAAAGGAAAATAAGTAATAACATTTGCATAAAAGTCAACATAAATAAGAGAACAAACAACAGTCAAAAGTAACAATGGTCAATAAGTGCGTTCCCCAATAAGAACTCCACACCACTTGAGGGGACATAATGTAGTAGTGCATCGTTACTTAATGCACTAATTAACCAGTAATTAAGTGTTAGTTAAGAACCGATCCCATGGCTTGTTCATCATTAATTAATCATGACAGTTCATCTACATTCAGGGACTATATTAAACCGTTAACTAAATAGTTAATAATGATAAGACTTCACCAGATGGTGCAGAACTTCACTCATTTACTACTCAAGAACAAATAATGAACTAATATAGGTTTCCCCATGAAATACTTGAACTGACAATTTATTAATGATGAACATGGGATCAGTATATAACTAACACTTAGTTACTAGTTAATTAATGCTTTAAGTAAGCGTGTACTACTACACTATTCATGTCCCATCAAGTAAAGTTACCAGAATTCTTTTGGGAATGTTGAAGAATATGTATACAGTATGAAGTTACGATCACGCAAAACATTTTGCTATGCTAGACACTGGTGGTATAAGAAGGGTGTAATCTTATCCCAGTGTTTCCCGATTGGGTCCTTAGGGACCCACAACCGGTCCACATTTATGCTCCCACCGAAATCCCTGTCAGACAGTCCATATTTTGGCTCCCGAGTAAAAACGAGAACTGTCTGTGGGTCTACATGGACCGGATGGGGAAACGCTGTCTTATCCAATGGTATAAAAAAGTGTGTAGGATTTCTGCGATCCTTTCCGGGCACCATGCTGCAGCAGAAGCATGCAGTCAGCATGCTGACTTCTAACCTGACCTGACCTGACCTGCTGGATGTGTTGTTATCATTGTGGTGAAGCTTCTTCTTTAAGGAGCGGACAGGTGTAGGTGAAATTGGGTTGGACCGGTCTGTCACACGTTGGGTCTGAAAGGCATGATGGTTCAGGCTCTGCTCAGTCAGATAGCGCTCCGATGGGGTCAGCAGCAGGAGGTTCTGATGATGAAACACGACCAAGAACAGTCCAATTAAAAGCACTGGCAACAGTCAAGTCAGAACACAGATGTGATTTTGATAACCCTAAAAAGGCCAGTTTTTCCACCCTAATGTACCACGTCAAACTGGATGCTTTCACAATTTTGTACCACACTGTGGTTGTTACTATGACCTATAAAGTAATTAATATGAATCACCCTCATTGTCATAAACAGAACACCTGTGAATGTGTATCTCTAATGTTCATAACATAACAACTGTATTTCTGACTTTAGTTCTGTTAATGGCTGTTTCTCTTTGAGGGTTAACAGTGAGTGATGACTGACACATAACCCCCTTATTCTGCAAAAACTTTGCAGAGCAGAAATGCACAAAATCTACAGAATCTGGTACATCAAACAATCTATAGGGTAAAGCAAAAACGCCAGGTCCGTTATTCATTTTTGTTTTAATTTTAGAGGTGAGTCACTTCAGATGTATGAGTTTCTGAGCTCATTACTGAATTATTCGGTCTGATTCATTCCCACTTAAAACAGAGGAAAAATACCCCAAAGCCACCCATGATATTTCAGTGTTTGTGGCCGTGACCTTTCACGAAAACATCCATTTCTCAGTAAAAAGACTAGAAATCCAAGACAGTGGGCCGTCACATGACAGCAGCACTTAAAGAAAACACTGGCAGGATTCTAAGTGACCCGCTGGTGTTGGATTAGTCATCCATTAGAGCAATCAGTGGGGGGAAATGTGCTTTTGCATTAAACCGATTAATATCACTGAAATCAGAAAACATGAAGCGACATTCACCATAGCCTCTCCTGTGTGGCCATTCTTCAGGTACAGACACACAGAGGAAATTAATTCATTGGAACATTATGTGGGCATAAAGGATATAATCAGATTTCACTGAAAGTTCCAACCTGGGTTCCAGGAGAAAAGAAACAAAAACTGAATCTCAGAAATACCCCTGTGCGACATGCTCCAGCCCACGGAAACCCTGTAGGAGCCTAAGGCCATTTCCACAAGTGAAAAGGAGGAAAACTTTACTTGTCTGACGCCAGATTCCGTAACGTCAGCTGACCCAACACTCTGACTGGAGCGTGGCACTCACTGGTACCGTGCGAGGAGGCTTGTCGCGATCCCAAAGGAGCCAGAGATTACTCCATCAGACACCCAGTGCCCCCCGTGGGATATGACAGTTCTGTTCCACTTCCTTGTCTAATTAAAAACACTGACACCATCCATCTGCAAACCTCCCATGAGGTAAGTTGGGGCCTGGAGGAAAAATCAAGTATCCACTACTCCACTTGTCAATCACCTGTGTGCAAGAAGTAGCATGTTAGTCCGGCAAGAGGGAAGCCATCGCCTACCTTCAGCAGATCCAGCATGACGGCACCTATTATACCCTGGTACCTCCTCTCCAGGGTCTGAGGGTGGCTCACTGTAGGGAACTGCAATACACACAAGAGAGCCAATCATAAACTGTAACACACACAAGAGAGTCAATCATAAACTGTAACAGACACAAGAGAGCCAATCATAAACTGTAACACACACAAGAGAGCCAATCATAAACTGTAGCATACATACAAGACAGCCAATCACAAACTGTAACACACACAAGAAAGCCAATTATAAACTGTAACATACACACAAGAGCCAATCACAAACTGTAACATACACTACAGACAATCATAAACTGTAATATATGCACAAGAGAGCCATAAACTGCAATAACACCACCTTGAACTGAAAACCACAAAAGAACCAGCAATGATCTTCAATACAAAACATTCAAACTGAAACAACATAAAAACCATCATAAAGATGAATTCAAATGACAAACTCAATCCTGTCAAATAAGAAAACTGAGATGCAAAACAGCAAATCACATGAACTGTCACGAATACAACAAAGGCTGAGATAGATAGTTGCTTTTGTATTTCAGTACACACACAACATAGGAAATATACACACAACTGAACCTCTTTTACATAAACGCTTGTTAATAAATGTATGCCTGCTATACTGGTTTTCAGGAGATTCTTCTAGCCAATGCAATTCGTACATAAATTTACAACCGAAGACTTAGTCAACGCAGATTAAGATCCTTACCCAAGATTATGAGAGTTGAGTAAAAATCCCATTTTTGGGATTTAATATATGAACCTGCAGATGGACTCAATTTGCATGGAAAGCCAGGCACAAGGGGCTTCACTACCAGAAGTCTGACCGTTAACCCCCCAGAAACTAAACCTTTCATATTTATGAACCCCCCCCACCCCTAACCCCCATGTTTAATGGCGATACCACTCATTTTTTATATCTGATACCAACTAATATCAAGGTTGCCATTGCAAACCCAATACTGACACCAATATCCAGGTGGTGGATGATAAAATTTGCTGGGGGGATAAAAATCATCCCTTATGATTGTAGTCCATGTCCTGCTTTCTGTAATTACATAAACATTTAAATTAGCAGGTCCAAAAAAAAAAATCTATATTTTAATATCAGAAGCAACTCTTGAAATAAAACATTCAGATCGACGCAGAAATATTTCAGGTTTTGCACGTCCTTAATAGTTACTTGTTAACTGTTAAACCAAGCAGGAATCCAAAGCCAGGCGTGTTCTCCTTCGGCAAAGGTACCGATGTCAAACAGCACAAACCCATAAGCTCAAACCATTATTCACCAAAAGCAGATTCAGTCAGCAGCACCTCATAATAACGTGCAGCTCAACCAGTATCGAATGGTGCTAACAATGCAGTGGTTGTGGTTTTGAATCACAGGGAAACACATCAACTATAAGGCTTCTATAAGTCACTTTGGATAAAAGCACCAGGTAAATGTTTGGTTAGATGACATGTGTAGCAGTTATAGGCACATTAATGATTGTCCATAGTTGTCTTATTTTATTAAATTTGCCTTTGCTATTAAACTAATTTACTGTAAGATTTAATATGCGTCAGTGAGATACTTGCAGCCACTGGCTACTCTAAGAATCCTTGGCACTTACCCCGTTGTCATTCGTCAAACACAACGGCTGCTGTGGTAAAAACAATGAATATTCATTATATTCTATCCAACCCACCAGCAAAGTGATAGCACTTCTACGATTAAAAAATCCTGTTAAATAATGAAATTTCTCAGTGTAAGGGTGTTATAAAGAAGAAAAAAAAAATATATATATATATTTTTTTTTTTGCAAAAATGTCCCTTTATGTGATTCAGTGTTTTTTTTTTTTTTGTGAAATTAGCCATTTAGGCCCTTTCACCCGCATTAATTTCGCTTAACGTGTCTGCGTGATTGCTGACGGAGGTGTCCCACTTTTCCGTGACGGACAGACTTTGACCGGAATGGTCCTCTCCATCACTGTCACCGTAAGGCGCCTTCTGGGGACCATGAGACATCATCAGCCGCCGTGACCCTCTTAACGACACGGGCATCGCTGAATCGGAGAGCTCTGAAATGAGGCCTGCCGGCCAGCACTGAGCCGTCCTGTCCTCCTGTCCCCTGTGAGTGGGTCACTCATCATCACAGCGGCCACCTTCTTGTCATCTCTGGCCCTGCATCACTCTCTTCAGTCCCTGCTAAGTTACCGCACAACTACAAGAATATTCCCATCTTCATCACACAATTAAGTCACAAATCTTTTCGCCAAAAGCAGCCTCCAACTCCTCTATTCCTTAAAACATAATCTCAGTGTTTCAGAGCAGGGTTTCCAGTATAAATGGCCCCATATGTAAATGGTAGAAAAGGGTGTTTTATAAAAGTCAGGCTGGTGCAACTCTTTTTGGATATTTGTGCCCCACTTCCAGCTCAGTGGCCTCGATATGATATAAAAAAAGGGTTACACACCCCCCCCCCCCCCCACGCCTTCGCCCTCCGCCCTGGTTTCCGCCACCCTGCCCGGCCCTACAGCATGGAGAGACCAGCTCTCCTCCTCAGGAAGTCCAGGTAGCCGGACACCTCAGGGGAGAAGTTGGGCTGGAGTGCCGTGCCCTGGAACGTGGGTAAAGAACCGGCCCGGTAATTCTTCAAACGTGCAGAAGAATCAGGTGGGGGGAAGAATATTACGTCCGTTAGTCAGGGCTGGACGCTGCTCCCACCTCACGGTGACACTTACAGTGACCTCACAGAAAATGGCATGACCAAAAACGACAAATTCATTTTTAAAACACACAAAAATGTGTAAAACTGTAGAGGCTACTAGTAAATAATAAACATTCTAAGCTAATGATCATCATCATTCAATCCATCCAATCCAAACCAAATGTCTAAATATTTCCGTATTTTTCACTGGGCGCCCCCCCGCCCCGCCCCCAACATGAGTGTCTTCTGTGCGGAGCTGCTGCTTGTCCCTTGACATGCTCCTGGTCTGCAGGTGTGTGCAGTGTGTCATGCCAGCGGTACCAGCGCGCCAGCTGTGTGCCGCACTCGCAACGCAGCCGATGACGAGCCCCAGGGCCGCGCCGTCTGCCAGCCGCTTCCGGAGCTGGGGGGGGGAGGGGGGGTTTCGGCGCTCAGGCCGTGAGTCACTGCCTTCCCGTTTGTTCCGGTACAGGAAACTCAGCCAGGTGGCGACAGAGACAGAGGCGAGGGAGAGGATTTTGGAGTGGGGGGGGTGTGTGTGTGAGAGAGAGAGAGAGAGAGAGAGAGAGAGAGAGAGAGGCTGCCCACCCGCAGGCCATGGAAGCGGGGGTTGTTGTAAAACAGCTTCATCTGCTCAGGTGGCAGAGGCCCTAACACCCTCTGTATGGTGTACAGCTGGTCGATCTCGCTCTCCCCCGGGAAGAGGGGCTGCCCGTCACTGAGCTCCCCCAGGATGCAGCCCACAGACCACATGTCCACCGCCTTTCCGTATGGAGCCCTGAAATAGACAGGGGCACCTGTTAGCATTAGCTATTAGCGAGGGGCACCTGTTAGCATTAGCTATTAGCGAGGGGCACCTGTTAGTATTAGCTATTAGCGAGGGGCACCTGTTAGCATTAGCTATTAGCGAGGGGCACCTGTTAGCATTAGCTATTAGCGAGGGGCACCTGTTAGCATTAGCTATTAGCGAGCGCT